ATGAGTTATATAATAAATTACTGGCCTACAGCTGCTAATAGTACTTACGGTTCCCTCAAAAAATTTCAAAGCAGCGCTCGAGGATTGAAACAGAAAACATGGTTAAGGAGATTGAGTACCTGGAAGTTTCTAAAAGGTTCAATGATTTAATGCTTATGTCATGTCACTTCATCTCATCCAGGTGAAAGGATTTCTGAAGTTTGAAATTGTGATATTTTACAGGAAGCTGTTGGGTCATGGATTGGGCTCGTGTTCTCTTGAGGAACTTCAAGAGATTGATAGCCAGCTAGAACAAAGCCTGGAAAACATTAGGGCAAGAAAGGTTTGCAACCTTTAGATTTGTATTTGGGCTAAAAGTAGTTACACTAATGAATCAATACATAATTACAAACTTCTGCTTTCGAAGGAAAATTAGCATTTGAGTCACTATCAAATGAGCTTTTTGACACATTTCCTTAGACTCACCTCCTCCATAGGTTATGGTTTTAGATAGAGCTGCAACCCACATTCCTTTAACCATTTAGTGGTCCAAAAGCTCCTCCGTGAGTTGGGACTGGATTCTTTAATGCATCTGTAATAGATTTTTCATTGTGCCATCTACCTGCATGCAAGGGACTTTGGCTTGATGTTTCTTACATCATTGATTAGATTCTTCGTGGTGCCATACATCTACCTACATAAAATTCCTAAACTATTTTTGAAAGTTGTGTTTGCTTGCATGAAAGTACGTAGACTAAGTATGTTATGTCCTATGTTATAGGTCCAGTTATATAAGGAGCAGATACAACAACTAAAGGCAAAGGTAAGAATAACCCTCCCCTTTGAATTAAACATATATTACTTCCTTAATCTTCTAATTCTAAGCTTCTCAGAAGTATCTCTTGTTTTTGTCTTAATATACATTTTTGTCTTCATTTAGGAAAAAATGTTGCTAGAAGAAAATGCGAAGTTATATGAAAAGGTGAGCCTTTCCTTTCATAATCTTGGATTTTTTTTTTTTATTCACAAAATAAAAGACACAAATTTTCAATCCATAGTTACACTAGGCTACAAAAACTTGGCTGTTGGATGATGGGAACAGCCTTACAATCAATGCTCCCCTCATCCAGTCACTCATATTTTGTAAGTTGGTGTAATTTGGACAGTAAAATCTTATTTTAAATAAAAATAAATTATCTAACTCTTTTTTGATATAATATTAGTGTGATGGTGAGAAGTTATGGCAACAACTATTAACTCAACAAAGGAAAGCAGTAAATGATTGCACCCAAAATAACCGATGCTCGGAGATTGACACTGAATTGTTCATCGGATTGCCACAGAAGGATTAATACCAACTGCTTGAATTATTTTATGATTGAAATTATTGTGCTACTGCAAATAAAGTTATATGATTAGTGTATATGATTGATTAGTCCACTATTTTTTTCTTTAATGTCTTCTTCTTTTAATGTAAATGATTTAAATGGAATTCTAATATATAGTGTAATAGTAACAATTTAAATAATTTAGCAGTTATATTTTTCTAATAAAAGTAAGATATCTTTTGAGTTTTAGTCACATGCGAATTAGATAAGAAATGAGAGAATTAATTTTTATTG